TTTGACAATCGCTACAGCAGCCCAATCCTCGCTTTACTCACTTCACCACTCTTGTCATAAGCAGGAGCAACAGGTATGATCTCTTCTCGTGCAAACCTCCTCGCCAACTGCTGGAACTCCTTCTGCTGATCGGTCAACTCTGTGGGCCAAAGAAGCAACAAAGCATTTTAGCTTTATTTTAATAGATCCCTATAAACTACATCACTGGAGCGGTTATTTGCTAAACAAGAATTTCTTGCATCAGTTACACGAGACCCTACTTTAAAAACAAAATGATTACATTTTACTTTAGGGGATTTCAAAAGCCTCTTGGTCTGCATCAAAGAGGCTCTGTTTTTAGGGAATTTATTAATAAAAATTTTTTTTAAAAAACCCCATTCACTATATATTATATTACCAAGGGCTGCAGGCTACTTACGAAATGAGAAGCCAAGGGATGGAGCAGGGCTGCTGGAAGATGCTGTGGCACTGGCTGTAGCTGTAGAAGAGCTCTGCAGACGGATCCCACACCGCACACCAGCTCTGAGGACCTGTATGTAAAAAATATAGGTATGCATCAGACAGTTTGTGACACCTCACACCTGTTAAATTAAAAAACTTAAGAATCATTAATCACCACCCATGAAAATGACACAAAAAGCCTAATGTGAGGGCACTTTCTTAGCACTGCGAGTTTCCTGTTCGTGAATTCTTTACTCATATTCATAAGCCTGTGAGCCGTGGTAACGTTTGGCTGCAACCCAGGAATAGGAGCATTAATGGTTGAGTTATTTGTCCTTTACTGCCGTGTTTGACAGTTGTGTCTTCATATTCCTGTTTACTTCTGTAACAGTGCTTTTCAATCGCTTGTTTGTTTGCTGAGTTGTAACATTGAGATTTATAAAGGGGTAGAGTCTGTCTCTTAAATTTCTTTGAAAACTCCAATGTTGCCTAGTCCAATTTAAAAAGGTAAACCTTTTGGTGTAACTAATGCACTAATGCGTATTTTGACAGTATAAAATTACGTGTAGATTTAGGAGAAACCTTTTTACATGTAGACTAAATGAACATTCCTCTGATAACGTCTCATAACGCTACAGCACTGAGCTAGCTAACGCTAGCGTGTGACGTAGTCGCTAAACGTGCAGAAAATCGGATGAAGATCGATAAACTGTCAATCGGGTGGTGCTCACAGAAAACTTTAAGGAGTTAACCCACAACAGAGACAGGTAGATCATTGTTAAGATAGAGAATTTTACCTTGTTCAGCAGCATTGTTATTGCACCAAAGGACTCTCTGCACTACCCGTGTACTACCTTTGCCCTACTTCTACATAAGCGTCCTCTCACCCAATCAAAGCAGTGACATTAGTCACGTGTCATTGCTTGGCCGTGACTGTGACTTTTACCCCAGTTAGTTACTTAAAAGCTTCACCTTACAGCAGATATCACTTTAAAATGCGTTAAAGCACAGAAAGATTACTTTAGCCAAATAAAACGAAACTAAACCTAGATGTTTTTTCCCCAAAAAAATAATCATTAACTAAAATAAAACGCGACCAAGATTAGGCTTTAGTGCACATTTATGGAGAATTTTACAGGTGGAAAGTAACGAAGTACAAATACTTAGTTACTGTACTTAAGTAGAATTTTCAGGCATCTGTACCTAACTTGAGTAGTTTTGTTTTCTGACAACTTTTTACATTTACTCCCTACATTTTTAAACAAATATCTGTACTATCTACTCCTTACATTTCAAAACAGACTTTACTTTTGACTTAACGCATTTGAGGGAACTTATTATTATTATTTCAAACATCAAACCAATTTCACCATAAACAGTGACGCATGAAAGGCAATCCTGTTCTCTGTGGTATTTAATAAACTGAAAATTTAAAGCTCACTTGTAAGTCCTGTGTTTTTTAATCAGATGTTAGAATCAGATTTTTTTTCATATTGTGAAACCTGCTGCAAAACAAACCATAGCAGACTAACTGTGTTTTTAAAAGGTTGCATTAAAGTCCGCTGCTTTTTATCACAGGGTAAATAGGTTAGCTGGTTGTACTGTGATGGATTTAAAGTTACGGTGTGTGACTGGTGAACAGTGGTTGTGGTGCTCATGGTCAGAGTCAGGTCACATCAAGTGTAGCTGAGATGAATTTGAATTTAAGCTGATGATGCTTAGATTCATTGACTGAATTCCACCTTCATGCAAACTGTACTTTCTAATACAAAAGGCAGCATAAACAGTGTGCTGTCAGTGCAGAGGATGGAAATCAGCCAGGCCAACATTAAACATCTGCTGACATCTTGTTGAATTTGTGTGTAAGAAAATCTACTGGAGCTCTCATAAGAAATTACTGCGAGTTGTGATTCTTTTCTCCACGCTGAGCCACTACAACTGATTTTAGGTTTCCCCCTCCTGCTGAATCCCACTTTAACCTCTTTCCTACTCGTTTTCCTGTTAAGAGGCAAAGTCAGTGTGATCAACTGTATCATTATTGTGTATTATTATTATTGAGACAACACAATCAAAGGTTCTGAATATTTTGAAATGATTTAATAATTTAGGTGAGCTTATTGATCCAAATATCAATGGTATCAGTACCACCACTGCTATTGGTACTGGATCAATACTAGCACAATAGTATCAATACTTCATGCTCATTAAAAAAAATGTTCAAAAAGCTCTTCCCAGGAGGGTGACACGGTTGCCCCCCTGGTGGTCTTCCTCGGGTCCTCGTACTCTGGGACCTCTGGATGTCTAGGGCCTGGATTTCCTCCATACCTGCTTCATGCTCTGGGGGACGGGGCTATGGCTCCCCACACTCCGTGCTGATCCACACAGGTGTTCACAGACACAAACTACACCTTTGTTGGCTGCTACCTCAAATCACATTGTGCGCTGTCAATCATGCATACTGCACAGTAACATGTAATATTTAGTATCTACTGTTATCTACTGTTAGCTACTTTATTGTGATGGTGTTGTATTTATTATGTTGCTCTTTTTTGTTTGTTTTCTCTTCTGTTTTTTCTTATCTCCATACAGGTGATCCAGGTGTTTTGTTTGTTTTTCAATTCTTTCTTTCCCCTTTCTCACCATCTCTTCTCCCCTCTATTTTTCTTTCTCTCCCTCTCTTTCTTTCATTCTTTCTCCCTGTCCTATCCCCCAGTCATGTCTACCCCGTCTGTAACAACCGAAAATCAAGTAAAATAAATACTTAATTATAATAAAGGTCAATCAAATATGACAAGGCCATGATGATCCAATTGGTAAAGTAAATCCGCTTGGCATCTTTCTTGGCCTTCAGACAACAATTCTGATGGCTAAAGATCCAAACGGGACAGGCAAAAAAAAAAAAAGAAAGAAGAAGTGGCAGGATGTACTGTGAAGTGTACAGGGCTCTACTCTGCACAGATTCAAACAAATGCTGCGAAACTGATACTGCAAAAGCAACCTGAGAGTTTCTCAAACTAAAGAAATGAGATATTCTTTAATGGTCAAGTCAACCCAACAGAGCATGCTTTTCAGGCCTGGCAGACCAGGACAGGACAGGCGATGTCCATGAGTTTTTCAGCTATTGACTACAAAAGGTGTCTATGATACAGTTACTAAATGATTTTGAAGTACTGCATCTGTTTTCTGGACAGGAAACACTCAAACTCTCTATTAAAAGTTGAGTAGTTTTGAATATTTGCAAAACATATTTTAGTCTATCGAACACATTTTAATATTAGACAAGAATAACACAAGTAAATAAAACAATTGCAGATTTTAAATGATGATTTCATAACCATGTCTTCTTGGGAAGCTGAGTTAAACTAACTACTGCCAGACTCAAGAAGTTATTTAAATAGAACCTGCCTGACAAAGTGACAAAGACTAAAACAAACACATTGTGTGTCCCATGATCTAAAGAAACAGGTGAGAAACAAAGTCATTGACATCTATCAGCCTGGAAAGAGTTACAAAGCAATTTCTCAGGCTTTGGGACTCCAGTGATCCATTGTGAGAGTCATTATCTGCAAATAGAGAAATCCTGGAACAGCAGTGAACCTTCACAGGAGTCAATGCTTCGACTTCAACTCACCCAAGAGGTCACAAAAGAACCCAGAAAACCATCTAAAGAACTCAGAGTCTCAGTGAAGGTCGGAGTTCAGCGATAAGAATGAGATTGGGCAAAAATGGCATCCATGGGAGAATTCCAAAGGCTCACCTCACATCTTCTAAAAAAATATCTAATGATCCCCAAGAGAGAAAATGTTCTGTGGACCGAGAAATTCAATTCTCTGGAAGGTTTGATTCTCCTCCTCCACAGTGATAAGAAAGACTGACAGTTACTACCAGAGATGGGCAGTAACGCGTTACTGTAATCCAGTTACTTTTTTCAACTAAAGAGTAATGTACGGGATTACTATAGCAAAAAAGTAATTAGATTACTGATTAGATTATTAGATCAACAATGGATAATAAGGAGTGCAGGAGAGAGTACGACCATGCAGCATTTAAAGCGTTGACATACTGACATTACTTTGAGTTTTATTGCGTAAAAAGTGACAAAAACATTAGTGTCCACTGTACACTCTGCGTGGGAAGGAAAACTTGTTTCTACAGTGAATAATTAAACTTCAAATCTGAGCAAGCACCCAGCAAGCCGCCACTTGAATGTGAAATTCACAGAGAAACCCCCGGATCCCCCCACTGGCATGACTGCTGTGGCACCAGGCAAACCTCCACCTGCCCCACTCCTGCTAAACAGGTGACAATAGATTTAAGAGCGAAAGGACTTAGTGCCGCTGAATCTTTGATTTTAATTATTTTTTGCCGTGTTTTACTTGCATCTATTTGAAAGAGCGAGTGTAAACACAAAACATTATTTTATTTTATATGTTGAAATATGCAGAAAAGAGTTTTTTATTTTAATTTAATTTTTTTTGACATTTAGGAATCACTGTACAGTATCATGTGCATCGGCTTCAATACTTTGTTACAGATATCCATCTGAATGTCTTCTTCTTTTTTTAACAACAAAAACATCCATGCAAAAGAAGAAAAAAGAAGAAGAAACTTAGAAGAAGAAAAACAAAACAAAAAGACAAAAACACTTAGTGAGAGAGATTTAATTACCAGTAATATAAATAATAAATCTAAGGTTAACAAAGTCTAAATCTGGCCTGCGTGTTATTATATAGTCCATCCATTTCTTACAACATGACACACACAGATCCCTCTTGTAGTTCACATCCGCTCATTTTCTCCATCCTGTAAATGTCCATTATGACGTCCATCCACATGTTCATTGTTGGGCTCTGACATGAAAGTCATTTTTTGTGAGGGCTTTTTTGCCTACCACCAACAAAATATTAAACAAATATTACAAATAAAGTTTTACTTTCTAGAGGCAAATAACTTCCAAATATCTCTTGTATTGCTACACGTATTCCCTTCCAATAAGTTTTAATAACATAACAGTCCCAGTAATTATATGATAATGATTTGCATTTGTGTTTCCACAGTTTTTCCAGCAAATGGGAGGGTTACTTTGATTTTTGGTGAGATGTAATAAAATATGTTATCAGGCTTTTCCAACCAAATTCCCTCCAGCTCTGTGAGCTGCTACATTTCCATTGGTATGTCCTCATTGTTTTCCACTTTTCCTTCATAATATCTATTCTTCCCTCCATTTCCCATTGTTTTAATATGTAGGGTTGAGTGTGATTTCATGTTTATTAACCCTTTATACAAGGCAGCAATAAAGCCTCTATCTTTATTTGAGCTGTATGCCCAGTCTAACAGCTGCTTGCTTAATTCAGCCTTAGATTTGATCTTTTTGCCTCATCTATAGGTATTTATAAAAATCCTGTGTTTCTAATGAATATTTTTCTTTAATCTTTTCAAAACTAAGTAGTGTACCTTTCTCCATTACCATACATAAAGCTGTTAATCCTTTATTTGTCCAATCTTTGAATCTAGTATCCAATTTACTTGGAACAAAATGTGTATCGTATGCACACCACTTACGAATTGCTACATCTTCTTCTAGTTTATACTATTTTATTACTATTTCCCAAATTTAAAAGTCAGCTTGATCCATGGATTTTCAATAGTTTTTATTAAATCTTGCAGGCTACTCGCTATATCTTTCTTGATATTCTTTTGTATTGGAAAGTAATTTCATCCTAATAGTTCTGCAAGATCCTTAGGTATCATAACTCCCAGATATTTTAAATACTCTGTTTGCCATGCTAAATGATATTTATTTAAAATTCCTTCTGATGGATTATAATTGTATTCAAGCAATTGTGTTTTACTCACATTAACTTTATATCCTGATAACAGAAAATAGGTTTAAATGTTAAACAA